ACACACACACACACACACACAAAAGCCCCAAGCCAGCAGTCCCCAGCCCCAACATTTGGAATTGCAACCCTTTTCATTTTAAGTGGCATTAAATACTTGCACAGACATTCTTGCAGGATTCAAGAATGCGCTTTGCATGCACATTCTGCCGCATGCACACACATCCCACACAGAATGAATTTGCTGCTCAGGATTATTTGATTTTCATTTTGAGGAGACTCTGGGGTTGTCAGGAGCATTTTTATTTGTGTCTTTCCTGTGGATATTAGATTCTGATTCGGTCTAGGTGGGCTATCTCCGGACCATCAAGACAAGCGATGAATGGATGGATATTGGTGTTCCTATAAGCAAGGCAGGCGCTCTCCCTCCACTTTTTTTTTTTCAGTGTCTCAATGTGTCATTTTTTAGGTTGCTAATTTGAAAGCAATCCAGTTCTAGGTGTTTGGAGTCAAATGCCGTGATGAGTAGCATTGCAGCGGATGCATCTCGGAACTCATCTGCGTTGGTCAAACAACTACGACCTTTCTTTGGCGCTCACAGACTCTGCAGACAACCCTAACTGCTAACGCTCTGGCTGTCTTGCTCTTGCAGGTGTTCTGACTCATCCAGCTGCTGCCCCTCTGCCCGAGAGTAGTTCAAACTGTAAGTTCAACAAACCAAATAATTAAATATCGATAGTTTTAGAGATCTATACTGATTTTCCAGTCTGTCTACCCAAGATTGGGGAAGAGGGCTGGAGACCATGGCTCGGGGGACGAGTAACACAGGGACATTACATACGACCCAGCCACATGACTGTCTATAACTGCCTAGGTCACTGTGACCTTTAACTGCCTTCCTTTTGCGCTCTTCCTTGCTACACTGTAAGAGGACATGAAGCTTTGGTATCTGGGTAATGCCGAATTGATATTTCCCTGATGACTTTTCTTTCTGGGTGTCCCTGTATGTTTTAATATCTTAGCTCAAGCAGATGGCTCCTAATATGTAGTTACCTCCAGATTCAGTAGCTGAATTCTTTGAGGTCAGATGAAATTCTGTGGTTAGCAACTTAACCACATATACTAACCAAAATGCCAGCTCCCAGCCAGTGAAGGCTGTGCTCTTGGGGTACTATACTAGTAGGTTAGAAAATGAAATGTACTGAAGTACCCAGCAAATAGCTGCATGGTGCAAGAGTTTACAGATTTCCCCAGGGCTGGACCTGCCTTCTTCATCTTAGGGTATCAAGTGCTTCCAAATGTGACTCTTTAAGCAAGAGAGATCGTCTGTACCGTGAAGGGATTGGTGCTAGGAGAGACACATCTCCCCACTGCTTCACACACCTTGATATGTAATTTAAGATATTTTTTAAAAAAAATATCAGGCATTTAATGCATTCTGTCAGTGGATGGGCTTGGAAAAGCTGGCTTTTAATAGAAAAGACATTTCTCTTACGTTCTCTTGTTTTTATGCCATCCTGTGTCTGCCTCCTCATCTAAAACACAAATTTCTGTATCATTCAGTTCACTTAATACCACCTCCATTTTTGCTTCTCTGCAGCTCATTGCTAGAGCCACTAATAGACTTCCAACACAAATAGTGTATTGATCACCGAAATCTCTTTCGAGCTTGACTGAATATACATAATGGGGTGTCAATCGGAGGAAAATCTCATAATAAATGGCAGGCGACTTATATTCATGAGGAAAATGTCTTGGGCAGCACACAAAATATCATGTCTACTGTAGCATGACAAGCTCACCTCCCCGGTCTCAGCTAGTCTGCTGCATTCATGGTGGATGTTTAATAGCGAAGGCAGGGTTAGAATGCCGAGCTCCTGAATCTTTCCTTCCTTTGTTTGTGTGAGAGGCATTTTTGTATACTCCGCAGAGTATAAACATCTTCTAGAAGCACCGCCAGTAAGAAAGATCTTTTATACCTGAGGAATTCATAAATTGCAAACAAATCTGTTTAAGTTGATGTATATTTAAAATCAGCTACTGATTTATGCAGTCCATATTTTTAAAATTTTTACCATGTGTGTACCAGGGCATACACACACTGTATGCAAATATTTTCAATGCATGTATGGGAACACACAGTATATTTAGAGAGAAGGCTGTTTTACATAAATTATTTTTAAGAGCAACCAAACAGAGGAATAGCCATGCATTAGGAAAGCCACATTTTAATCCCTCAACCCCCTTTAAGCCTGCTGTTGGATATTATGTGAAGGAATCTCATTTTTATAATTTTATATGCAATTCTTTAAACTTACTTTTCCTGCCAGAAGTCTTGGATTATTTCTACAAACCCAGTACCAGAGAGGCTGAGGCAGGTGGCTAGCTATAAGTTCAAGGCCAGCCTGGGCTGCAATGTGAGGCCCAATGTCAAAACAGTTGAATTACCAGGCCTGATGACCCATACCTTTAACCCAAGTACTTGGGAAGCAGAAGCAGGAGGTTCTTGGTGAGTTCCACACCAGTCTAGTCTACATAGTGAGACCAGGTCTCAAATAAAACAAAGTGGTCAATCAGTCAATAAAAAAAGATGGAGATGGCTGGATCCCAGGAGCTAGCCTAAGTCTACTTGGCAAACTAAAAGCCAAGGAAAGACCTTGTCTCAAGAAACAAGGAAGATCGTGCCTAAGGAACAACAGCTGGAGTTGACCTCCGGCCTCCACACTCATATGCACACACATGCATGTGTACCCACATGAACATACACCCACACATGTCTACAGTTACTAATACTTCCTGAGAGCAGTCATTGAGGTGCTAAGTGTTCCCAGAGAGAAGGGACCTTCAGGGTGGTATGGCCCTGGGTGATGGTAGGCATTTCCAGCAGGGTCCAGTTTCTTTATCACTGACTTGGCAGCTGACTCTGTTGCTACTGGCTGTCAGTGCACAATCCTGCTACTACGGGCTCATGGGATGTCCATGGCATTCGATGGCACGCTGCTTTACCCATGCAGTCTGGAGTGTGGTGTTTTCCCCAGTCTGCTGGCAAGAACAGCCATCACGTGTGCCTCCTCTTCTCTAAGCAAACGACGCCAAGGCCCTTTTGCTAATCAAATTTTGGTTTTGTAAAAATTGTTTAGTGTGTGTGTTTACAAGTTTGACTTACCGCCGTGTGCTGTGGAAGTCAGAGGACAACTTGTGGGAGTCAGTTCTCTCCTTCCACCAGATGAATTCCAGGGATCAACTCAGGTCATCAGGCTTAGCAGCAAGTTCTGATATGCTGTATGTGTGAGGGGGTAGGGGGGCATGCAAAAAGAAATTGGTGGTTGGAGAGATGGCTCGGTAGGTAAGAGCACTTGCTGCATAACCAGGTCCTGAGTTCAGATGCCAACACAGATAAAAAGCTAGATGTGTTCGTACGTGCACCTGTAACGTCAGCGCTGTGTGGACAGACAGGAGGATGACTGAGGCTTGTTGGCTGCCAGCCTATCAGTGGGAGATCCTCTCAAGGGAATAAGACAGAACTATAGAGGAGGACATTTGACATCCCCCTCTAGCCTCCTTGTATATGTGTATGCACCACCACCCCACACACACACTCTGGCCTCCTTGTATATAAGTACACACACACACACACACACACACATACTCTCTCTCTCTGGCCCCCTTGTATATAAGAACACACACACATTCTGGCCTCCTTGTATATAAGTACATACACACACACACACACACACACACACACACACACACACACGTGCACATGCACACATACACTCTGGCCTTCTTGTATATATGTACAAACACACACACTCACCAATATGGCCTCCTTGTATATATGTACACACACACATTCTCTCTTTCACGCATACACACACACACACACACACACACACACACACACACACACACACTGGCCTCCTTGTATATATGTGTACACACACACATATACACTCTTTCTCTCTCACACATACATTCTGACCTCCTTGTATACATGTACACACACTCATACACACTCTCTCTCTCTCTCTCTCTCTCACACACACACACACACACACACTCACACGCACAAATGCAATTATCACCCCTTGGACAAATGTCTGTTCCTGTTCCCTGCAGCATTGAAGATGTGGTAAAGTGTGGTGTGTTGTGGTTTTCACGGTTTCCACCTCAGGTGGCATTCATACTGATCAGTGTGCCAATCAGGGCAAGTAAAACTGCTGGGCACTGAGCTTCAACCTTCCCTTTCCACAGCAAGAACCTGCATTTTTTTCCTGCTACTTTGATGAAATGTTTTTGTTTGTTTGTTTGTTTGTTTGTTTTTTAAGTTTTTGGCTTGCAAATAGATTGGGTGCAAAGTTTGCTGAGAAAATGGATTACCAGAAAGCTGGTATTTAGAGATTCAGGGATGTGTATTATGGGAAAGCTTCCCTTACTAGTAAATGATAACTATAAAATATACCTGATAAATAATCTATACATATCTTTATGTATGTCAACAACTTGGCTCCAATTAAAAACTGTGTAGGGTATGTGTGGCTTTTCAGAGTCAGTCAGTTACATAGCTTATGCTTGGAGACTATCTGGTGAGACTTTAATGAAAGGTAAGCTTAAACTCAGTTGTAAGAACAAGCTCATGAATTTTAACCTACAGAGAAGTACACATGCAAAAGTTGGAAGAAAACTGGGACTTCTTGGATGTCAGTGATGAGAGAGAAAATGAAATCCTAGAGAAAAGAAAATTGGAAAGAAAAAACATTTCTAAAGAATTTGAGTAGGAAACCTGCATTTGTAGACCTTATTTGTCTTAAATGTTGGGTGGTTTAGCGATACATCTCACTGAAGTGGATGGGAAAAGAGCTATATGATTTTGCCTTGGGCCTGTTGGCACAGGCTCTACCACTGGACCACCACCTTTCTCACGTGATCCATTTTTTTCATTGAAAGAACATTAAAGTATCTTTTGGCTATCTACTACCCAGTTAGTAATATAAATAAATACTTTGCTTAAATAGATTGCTTTCTTGCCAGTTTTTAACCTATACTTAGAATGAGGCTACTTAAAGGTAAACAAGAAAAATCTGGTAGAATTAAAAACAGCTTCAATATACCTATCAAATTTTGGGTAAAACTTTCACATCATTTAAAAATATTTTCAAGGACCAGGGAGATAGCTCCGTCGATAGAGTAGTAATCAGAGTTAAATACCTAGAAGCCATGTTAAGAAAAGGGGTGGAGGCAGGTGTGACAATAGATACTTGTAATCCCAGCATTAGAAACACAGAGACAAGAGCATCCTGGACACTTGCTTGCCAGCCAGCGTAGCTAAGTAAGTGATCGAGAGACCCTGTCTCTAAAAACAAGGTAGATGTGACTGAGCAGCGACACCTGAGGTTGTCCTCTGGCCTTACGTGTGTGTGTGTGTGTGTGTGTGTGTGTGTGTGTGTGTATCCAGAACCGTGTACACACATACAGTACTCAACATCAGTGCTAAGCAGCAGAATGTAGAGCTGTTTCACAAACACGATGTCACCACCCCTAGAGTTTGCTGTTTTATGGCTGCAGAGAAGTTAAGAAAGGTCTAGAAGTCCTTACATTTTTGTTTCATTCTCTCTGTGTTTTTAGCAGCTTAAATGCAGCATGTGTAGAGTTATGACCACTGCATAAAAGGGCAGTGGAGACTAGTTCTCACAGTAATGCAAG